GTTAAAATGTGTCAAACGCCAAATTTAAATTTCTTTCCAGGTCGAGGAGACGGTGGGGCGAGAGGAAATGCGGGTGGGAAATGTGGGCAGGGAGGGACGGGCAGCAGGCAGGGGCTGCTGGCTGGCTCCTGGCGTGGGTCTCGGTGGAGCTGTAGGCTCCGGCTTCTCCTCCTGCCCGGGCTCCTTCAGGCCGCTTATTCCCGAAGCTGGGGCTGGGCTCTGGCCGGCAGCATTGCCTGAGTTTGCTAGGGGTCCCAAATACGCTACAGAGCAGGCTGAGGATGGTCTAGAGTTGCGTTTGGCTGCAAGACTGCTGTGGGTGTGGAGCGGGGGGAAGCCTAGGACATGGATCTCCCCATCCCAGCGCCCCAGAGCCCCGCTCCGCTGTCAGGGACCATCCCGACAGCCTACAAAATAAACCCAGGACTGCCTTCAGCTTCCCAAACGTGTTTCGGTGCGCTTCCGCCGGAGCCACTGCTGCTACGGGAGCATCCCCCGGGCTGTCCCAGCCCAAACCTCTTACCCCGTACCCTCCTCCATCCCTGGTCCCGTCCCGGCCTGCTTCGGCCCCATCCACGCGGGAACCGGCACGAATCCTGCCCCGAGCACCCTATTACAGCCCGCGCCCGGGGCTGCCGGCTTCGGCTTCATTTGTTTGTCTGTTTGTTTTTAAGGCAACACGAATTTGTTTATAAAACCGAGTCGTGGCCCTTTGAAACAAATGGTTATTAACCTTCCCCCTCTGAGCGTTTCATAATCACAGATGTTAGTTTGGAGATGATATCCAAACATCCCAGGGGTACTTTTGATAGCTGCATGGGCGGGGATTGAATGTGGAGGTCGGATATTAAATCAGCGGGATACAGAATTACTTCTTCTTCTTTTTTTTTTTTCCACAAACCCGAGCTAGCTAAACAGTTTCCTCCTCTAACTCCGATATGCATTTCACAATAAATGGCGCGGGTATTTGCATACATAGTGCCTGGGTATGGGTTCGTACATCGCCTGTGCGATATACCGCGTTAACAGGCAGGGGAGCGGAGGAACACCTTCACTCAACCTTAGTGCTCAGATGCTTATTGACCAGAGTTAAGGGGAAAAAATGCACTTAATTAATTACACGGAGGGGCTGGTTGGCGCCGGGAGGGTGCAGATGTGTTTCCGCTCGGCCCTCGAACACTTCCCTGGGTTGGCTGGGGGGTTAGTTTGTTTTATTTTTTAATGGGACTCCGCAGCTCCGGCTGGAGGGGAAGGAGCCTGCAGAAAGCTGTCTGCCAGGAAAAAATTCCTGCCAGGCTGTGGGTGACTTCAGGGCCAGCCCTGCCCCGGCTTTGAGCGGGGGCCTGGGGGGAGCTTCGGGGCTTGGGTGGTTTGGGGTTCTTGGGTTTGCCTTTCCGAAAGAAGAGAAGAGATAACCCCCAGCCCGGCTGCTACAGCGCGGTGGTGCTGCTTTGCTCACATCGCAAGAGGCGCTTGTACGGCTCCTCTTTCGGTTAAACTGATTTTAAATGGACGAGGGCTAATATCACCGTGCTGTCCTTCCCGAGCCGGCGGTGAGCCGCTGCCCGGGGGTGGGAGCGCAGCCTGGGCGCTGCGCCGGAGCCAAAGAGGCTCCAAACGGGGCGAGAGGAACAGCCGAGCCACGGGCCTCTTCTTGTGGAAGCTTTGCCCCCAGAACCACCGGAGGCAGGTGAGGAGTGTGGCCCCTGTGAGCCATTCCCTGCTCCCAGCTGAAGGCACCGCTCTACAGCAGCAAACATTTTGTGTTCTAGTCTGGATAAAATCCAGGGAGCAGCGAGACCTTTTCTGCCCTTGCTCCAGAGACTGAACTAACTTAGAGCAGTTTCCCTACTATTTTTATTAGAGTTTTTCTAACCTAAAGCTAAATGCATCTTCCTGCTGGTGTCACACATCTGTTTTCTCTTCCCAGTGCTTCTTGCAGGCCGGGGGAGGACAAGGGGAAGCCGCACGCTGAGGAGCAGAGTCAATTTCCCCGGTGCAGGGTTAGTGACTTCTTAAAAAAGAATCTTAGAATCTCCTTGGGACTGACCCGCCGGTGTGTAACACACACACGGTACCGGTTTGTCCCATCGGAAACGCGGAGATGGTTTTAAATCCAGATTTAAAACTCCTCTTTAGTGCCCATTGCCACTGATTTTCTCCCTCGGGAGACCTGCCTCCATTAGTGGAGGTGGTCAAAACCCAATAATGATAACATAAAAATAATCTCCTCAAAGGTATGTTAACCAGAAACTCTGGATAAACAAAGCCTGCTTTGGAAAACGAACCAGGGAGCGTCCCTCGTTGCCGGTCCCCACTTCCCCAAGCAGGTGAAGCCCACGGTGCACTGTCCCAACATCATCCCTACTCCTGCAGAATCGTGTTCCTTGCAGAATATATTCCAAAACAGCAGCTTTAAATAAACAAAATAACATTTTAATCCCCCCACCTTCTCTTTTCCCTGCGGCAGGAACTGGCCCTGCGAGCGCAGCTCTGCCCCTCGCTCCCGCTCCTCCTGCCTGCGGAAAAAGGGCTGAACTATTTCAGAGCTCCTGTGCCCTTTGTTGCAGCAGTTTTATTTTTATCCAGCCCATCCTAAAACCGTGGTACTGTCATTTCCCGGGGATGGCAAGTATTTTACAGGGTGCTTGGTTTCCTAGCGTGGCACCGGCGATCATCACCTCTCTTCCCGAGCTCCAGGTTTCTGTGTTTAACAAGCAGAGGTTTCCCAAACGCAGCCTGCCAGAACATCACACCACCGGGCATTTAAAGTCTTGAGAAGGTGAAACCTGTTGACAGTACGTGAGATTCAAGAGATACTCTTTTCCGTGTTCAGGTCCTTTTTAACACGAGCAGTGGCTCGGAGCTGGGCTCAGTGAGGGGGGCGGTTGCCCTCTCGTTCAGCTAGAACTGAATCCCCCAAAGTTTCTTCATTAAGTCAAAAGGCTGATGAAACGCTTGGCTGCAAAATCACCTCTCCTAAACCGCCACGGAATTTCAACCCCCCTGTAAAAAGCTGAAGCTACGAGATACTTCCAGCTCCAGTGCTCACAAATGCAACCTACACAGTATATAAAAATATATGGATGTATAGTCCCAAAGAGCGCTACTCCATCGCGACGTCTGAGTAACACGGTCTCTATTTTGTAATAAAGTGGGTTATTTGGGGGTTTGAGTTTGTTTTGTGGTTGGTTTTTATTAATTATTTAATGTAGTCCTCGAGAATCGAAACACAGAAAATGCAGCGAGAATGTTCACAACGTTGAGAGCACAGTTGTAAATAGAAACATTCATATTTCATCCCATTATAAATATTTGATACTGCAGTTGTAAAATGCACATGGTTTATAAACTGGAGAGAAGAAGGTGGGGGGGGAAATCCTCTTTGCTTCCTTGCTAAAAGGCAATGTCATCTAATCCTGGCTCCCAAGCAGCTGAGGGTTATTCTCAGAATTTAAAATTACAGGCTTTATTTTATAGTTGGATTATTTCCTCATTTTTTAAGTGCATACTACTATGTACAATGTGTGTCTATTACAGCTGCAAAATAAAGAGGTTTTAAGGCAAAGCGAGAAGTTTCCTCCCCCCCAAAACCAGCACCCACGCACATTCATACCCACGCAGGACACAACTTCCTCCCACCCCCCTCGGGCCGTGGGGACGGGGACACCCCGCTCCGGGAGAAACAACGGGTTAAACGCAGCACAGAGTATAGAAGCCCCCCTAAAAACACCGACTGCGAGGAGGTGTCTGGTGAGGAGGGGGGCGTGGAGAGAAACACCCGCCTCCACGGCGGAACGAAGCGTCGCGCTGGCAGGGACCGCGCCGTGGGATGGGAATAACGAGAGAGGGAAGGGGAAAGGAAAAATGTGACTATAGTTTGGGAGCAGGGCAAAATGTTCCTAAACACTTCGGGAAGGTGATAACGGAGAGGAACCGGGTCTCAACCCGTGGCCCTCCCCCGCGGAGGGGAAAAGGGGTCGGGAGCCGGGTCCCATCCTGATCCCGATTCCCCTCCGTGGGGGGCGGCCACGGGTTAGAGCTGCATTCTGGAGCGGCTCAAGCTTTTAGGAGATGTGGGTTCTAAAGTTTTCCCTTTCCCAAAGTTTCCCTGGAAGTAAGGGCGTAAGTAAGGGATACTAACCTCATCCCTGCATCCCGCATCCACACCCGCCCGTGGGTCTCGCTGGGGTGGAGGAAGGAGTAGGGGCTCAGGGAAGGACCCCGGGCAGGTTTCAAGACGGTGCTTTGAGATTTCTTTCCCTATCGTTACTGATATATAATTTTCTTCTTTTTAAATTAAATTCCGCACGTCTATTCCCAAAGCCAGCCCTAGACGCACACATCCCAAAAATAATTAAAAAAAAAAGGAAAAAAGAAAAAAGAAAAAAGAAAAAAAAAGAAAAGGGGAAGGGTGATAAAAAAAAGGGTAGAACTCATAGAACAAATAGGAGAACTATTTATTCGGTTCACAGTCGTGTGAAATGCAGCAATAAAAATCTTTGGACTTCAGCAAAAGTTGTTTTTAATTTTTTTGAATTTCAAAAAACAGCGTCCAATGTCCATTAAAACTGTGCTTAAGTCTATAAAAATGTAACTTAAGCATTAAAAAAAAATAATCATAAAGGTAGCGTCTAAAATCTCCATACAAGCAAGAAAAAACCAAAACCAATGAAACCAAAGCAAAACAAACCACCAACCAGTCCAAATCCCCGAAACCAAAACCAACAAAAAAAAAAAAAGGAAAAAGAAAATAATAAAAAAAAATATTTTATAATCAGATATCTTGGATTTTTACACCACCTTACCTGTAAATTATATATACATACAATATTGCAGAATTATATCTAATACACAATATTTTCACTATTAATGCTGGTATAATCTTTATACACTGGCCCTTACGCTTCTTTTTATTTTTTGTTTTTTAATTAAATTATTGCATTGTATAAACTTTGACTGCAAACGCCCCCCCCCCCCCCCCTCCCCGGCCTCCCTCTTCCCTCCCTCGCCCCCCCATCCCCCTTTCCCCTTGGCTATTCACTGTCCGACTTGCCGTCTTTCGCCGTGGTGGAGTGGTTGTAGAGCCCCTGGGCCATGAGGTGCACTGCCAGGGAGTTCTTGCTGCCCGTCGCCTTCTTGATCTTGGCTCGTTTGTTCTGGAACCAGATTTTAATCTGGGACTCGTTAAGCCCGAGCTCTTGGGCCAGGCTTTGCCGCCGTTGCTCTGTCAGGTACCGATTCGTCTGGAACTCGGCCTTGAGTCTCTGCAGCTGCTCGGCGGTGAAGGCGGTGCGCGGCCGCTTGTCCTCCTTGTTGGGGTTCTTCTTCTTTGGTTTGCGGGACCGGGGACCTACGACCGGGAAAGACAAGAAGCACCGACACCGCCACGCTCCGCTGCGGGCGGCCCCACGCCACGCACCATCCCGCGGGGATGGGCGGGGGGGTTCACTCCGCTCTCCGACACCCCCCCCCCACAGCCCCTAAGAAAGAATTAGACCCCACCGACATCCCCCCTCCCCCCCCCATAAAAACAAATCCTGCTTTGTGCCCTTGCTGCCGGGGGATGCTCGGGAGGCGGCGGGAATGGAGCCTCAGCCCATGGTAACCCCAGCCGGTCGCGGCCGCTCCCTCTGCACCCCAAAAACATCTACACGCCTTTCTTTCATACCGGGGTGCCCGGCAAGTGGAGCCTGCAGCGGAGACAGCGTCACGGAGCCATATTTTACTCTCTGAGCAGATTATTTATATATATACTTATATATATTTTAAGGAATCCTCTTTTTTTTATTTTTTTATTATTTTAGTAAACCCTTTCCTTCCCTTTTTTTAAGGAAACATTTTTTTTAAGGAAACCTCTTTATTTTTATCTTGCTTTCTTTTTATTTATTTAATGAGTGGCGATTAAATAAAAAATAATGGAAATCAGCCGCCTGTTTACATTGCGAGGAGAAACCCGCCGCTTTGCTGCAGTGCCCATATGGCGCTGCACGGCCCGATCCGAATCGCCGGGATTATTCTCGGGAATATTATTCTCGGCAGCACAAGGAGCCTTTTCTGCCCGGGCCGAGCCATTGTGAGGATGTATGTTAATTAAATATTAACAAAGGAGAGCACTGGAGAACAATGGAGTAAATTCCAGTTCAACCCTGAATATTACCTCTGAGGAAGAGTTTGGTTTCAGATTTTACGAACTAATTTTCAACTCGTTTTAAAATCCCTCCTCCGGCTGCCCGGCTCTCCGGGTGAAAATCCCAGATCGCTGCTTTTGTAAGGGAAAACCTCGTATTTATTTATTTTTTTTCCTATCCCTGGGAGCAGCTCTTCCCATGCCTTTCCCAATGGTTTCTACTTCTTTTTAAGCAGGGTTTTAGCAGTCTGCCGGGGCCAGCGCTGCTCCGGCAGCAGGACATTTTACCCCCTGGCTTTTTGTTTTTAATTGTTTCCTCCCCCAGTGTTTTATCGATGATTTCAGGAGGTTCTGCCCAAACCCTTTGCCAAGAGACGGATCCTGCCGAAGAAGTTACCCGGCTCTTGGAAATGTCCCCCGGCCCCTACAGAGCTGATCTACAGCACATGGAGGGAAATTAAAAGAAAGAAACGAAACGGCGGCCGCTCCGAGGCCTCCTTCGGAGAAATAAACCATCGCGGGTTGCTTTTGGCTAACACAAAAATACAAATAGATCAAAGCGAGGCCTGTGGAAATCCACGCTCCCTCCCCAGAACACAGCGCGGGGGTATTTTCCTGAGCGGCAGCTCGCCGGGAGGCTGAGCTGGGAGCCCAAACCCAGTGGTTTGTGGCTTTTTTTCCCCCTTCCCTCTTTGATAAACCCCGGCAGTTGGTGGGAAATGCCCCGAGCTCGGCGGCCCCAGCTCCTCCGCGGCGGCGGGGAGGGAAAGAGGGAGGGCAGCGATACTCCGTTCCCACTCTTCCCCCCTACTCCGCTCATCCCCAGGCACCCCTTCTTTATCTCCCCTCTTTTGAGGGCCCTTTTAAGCACACACCACTCCCCAACATAAAAAGAGAGAGGGAAAAAAGAAAAAGGAGGACGATAGAAGGAGCGGGAAAGGGGGAGCGGGGTTTGTTCCTGCTGCCCTCCCGGCCCTGCGGTTGCTCGGAGGCAGCCGGAGCCCGGGGAGGGAAGCCGACAACAGGGAGCCGGCAACCGGGAGCTGATCGGCAGGCGGGCAGGGAGCGCTTACCTGAGGAGGGCCGGTCCGAGTACCGCGTGCAGTACACCCAGGCGGGCCAGAGCATGGGCTGGTTCCCGGCGTTGGAGCTGGCCTGGGAGCTGTCCGAGTCCGAGCTCACCGACAGGTCGCCGCCGCTCAGCCCCCGCGCTTTCAGGGCCGCCTCCAGCGCCGCGGGGTCCCCCCCCTTCTTGGCGGCGCCGTGCAGGGCCAGCCCGGCGGGGCCGCCCTCCCCCCGGCCCGGCGAGCCCGCCCCGCCGCCGGGGAGCGGAGCCCCGGGGGCCGGCGCCGCGGCGGGGCTGCGGCGGCTTTCCGCGCCGGGCCGGCGGGGCTCTCCGCCCGGGCCGCCCGCTTCTTTCCTCCGCCCGAACTCGGGCCGCAGGATGTTGTCGATGAAGAAGTTGGTGATGCGGTGCGGGTGCGGGTGCGGAGGGTCGCCGGGGGGGAGCAGCAGCCCTCGCCGCCCGCCGCCGCCGGGCTCCGCGTCGCCGCCGGACTCCTGCGGCTCGGCCGCCTCCTCCCGGGGGCTCCGGCCGCCCTCCTCCATGCTGCTGGCCGGCCCCGCCGACGGCTCCGCCGCCCGCCCTGCCGCCGGTCGGGGGGCTGCCTGGAGCGTTTTGTTGGTGCTGCTGCAGTCGGTTGTTCTTTATTTTAATCTTTGTTTTGTTTGTTTTAATATATATATGTATATATATATGTACACACACGCACAGGTGTCTATTTGCTTTCGCTTCTCCTGGCCGCGCCCGGCATTCAAAATCCAGAGTTTGAAAAAAAAAAAAAAATTAAAAAAAAATTAAAATTTGAATAGCAATAAAAAAGAAAAAAACACCCACAACAATCGGAGTGAAGCGAACCCAGGAGACCCCCAAGCCAGCAGCCGAGCCTCCACCAGTTCCAACTTGGCCAAAAATAAAAACACACGGGCTCCGGTCCTCCCGCCCGCCGCTCGCCGCCTCCTGCCGCCGCTCAGCCGCTCGGTCCCGCGGCGCGCTGCCGCCTTCTCCCCCGGCCACCGCCGCCGCCGCCGCGCCTCATCCGAGGAGGAAAATATTATTATTAATAATAATAATAATAGTGACCGGGGGTGCGATGGACGGGGGGTGCTAAAGCGATAAAAAGAAGCCGAGGTCCGGTGCCGGGGCGGGCTGGAGGCGGGCTTTCAGCAGCCGGTGGTGTCCCGCGGAGGGCAGGGCGGTGAGCGGCGCCCCGCGGGGCTCCGGCCGGCAGCGCCTCGCCCCGCGCCGCCCCGCGCCGCCCCGCGCCCGCACATGCGGGGGCCGCCGCGGGTGGGGGGCGTCCCGCCCTGCCGCCCGCCCGCCCGCCCTGCTCCGCGCCGCCGCAGCCGCCGCAGCCGCCGCCGCGCCCGGACACTTCCAGTCCGGATTGTTGTCCTTTAGGTTTTAACGGGGCCCCCGCCGGTGACGTCGCCGGCCCGGGCACTTCGACACGTGCCTCGGGCCAATGATAAAGCGGGCATGCGCACACGTGGTGCGCGGGGCTCCGGTAAGTGACAGCGCACACGCCCCTCCCCCCTCCCCGAGCCGGGCCCGGCCGCCGCGGGGATGCGCGGGGGGCAGCGGAGAGGGGGGAGCCCCGCCGCGGGGTGCACAGCGCCCCCCTCTTCAGTACCCCCCACCGCTGGATTATCGGGGTTTAATTGCCCCTCTGTCTACCGGGGGGGGGGACACGACACACGGACATCCCATAATTCCTTGCTGAAATGCATAAATAACATTAAGCGAGCGGCGGCGATACAAAGAGGGTCGGGAGGTTGGGGAGGGGGCACGGGGGATACAGGGCCCGGCCCGGTGCCTGCGGGCTGCCCGGAGCGTCCCCTCCCCGCGGCGCGGTTCGGCTTCCGCAGCGGCGGTAATTGACTCGTCCTTCCCGCAGCCGGACAGGAGGCTTTGATCTCCAGAAAAGCCGTGCTTTCCCCCCCACCCCCTCAACCTCCTGCCCGTCACCCTCCAGACCCCCCCACATCCCCGCTTCTTGGGGACGGGGAAGCTGCCGGTGCTGTTTTGCCTTCTGTCTTTAAGAGAACCCTCCTCCAGGAATAAAATTAGGGACCAAAGTACGCCTGGATGGCCGAAAGGATGTGGGGCTGAGCTGCCTGGGGGCCGCGGATTCTCCGCGGGGCCCGCAGGGAGGGAGACGAGGAGGCGGGAGGGGGATCCTCCCCCCGCAGCCACCCGTTATCCCTCCTCGGGGCCCTCACGGTGTCGCCCCCCCCGACGGGGCGCACGGTGAGGTGTTGCACGGCCCGCGGAGAGCCGGACAGAGGCGGCTCCGCTCCGGTGGCCGCAGCACTCTGAGCCCTGTTTTTCCCTGCTAAGTGACACTTTTATTTGGAGGAGGCTTCCCTGTGGTGACATGGACCTCTCCCGCCCTGATGGAAAGGGACAGCGAGTCCTTCCTCTTCTTCTTTTTCACCTTCTTCTCCTTCTTTTCTGATTCTTCTTTTCGTTTCCTTCCTCTTTACTCTTCCATTTTAATTTTATTTTAAATGTATTCCTCCCTTTCCTTTGTATTTCGCAGCGGGTCGGGTCCATCAGCGAAGACCAGCGCTACCTGATCCAAAGTTGTTTTGCTCAAACAAGCACCTAGAGGTTAATTTCTTCAAGCGCCCCATGAAAAGCGATTAGCCTGTCTCCCAAGAAGTATTTTCTAATTACTTGGAAGCTCTCGCTTTGCTACTACCCCATAATTAAACGTGTTCAAGGTGCTGCACTTCAAATATTTCGCTCCCGGGCGGACCGGTGTTACCGATAAAAACTTCAGACCTTCGGGAACCCCGCGGTACCTGCCCGCTCTGCCGGTACCTCGTTACCCTTCCCATTCGTTATCCCTCTCCTTGGCGGGGATATGTAGACCCTGCATAGGACAAGGAGGAGAATTCCGGAGATAAACTCCAAATCAGGAGATAAACAAAGCTGTACAAAACAATTACTGCATCTGCTTGTCCTCTGACAATAATCCAGCACCTCAGGTATGCAGAGGCAGCGGAGGGGGGTCGGGAGGTGACTTGATACCTAACCGAGGAAATCTGAATGATCTTTATATATATATATATATATATGTATGTATGTACATATGTATATTCCCTCTTTCCCAGGGTTATTTTTATCTGGGAGCCCAATCTCTGCAGAAACATTCCCCAGCAGCACGTTTTCTCGCCGGTCTGCTGGCGCCCCACCAGCGGCACCGCAGCGTGCGGGGGCTTTTCCCCGGGAACCACTGCGGGTCACCGGGAGAGGTGGCTTGAAAACGGGGATTTGGCTTCGTTTGCTTCTTTGCTTTGCCCTCCCCTCGCAGCCCTGGTGCGTGCAAAAGTCACCTCCCCGCTCCCCAGCCAGGCATTTTTTTCTCTACAGTCCACGCGTAGTTTCACCGAGGCTCACCCATTGAAAATAACATTTATTATCCCCTCCTGCAAACAGGCGAGTGTGCGGGAACAGCCCCCCGCATCCCCGGGCAGCTTCCCGCTCAGTTCTTTTGGCATCGAGAAGTTCAAAAGCAGGATGACAACCTGGGAGGGAGGGCGGGAGCGGCCGGCCGACCCCTTCCCGCAGCGGGCAGGCTCCGGGGCCGGTCCTGCCGCTCCTGCGGGCAAACCCTCCTTCCTTCCAGCTTTTCTCCGCAGTCGGAAAAAGCAACAAACCCCGAGGTGCTGGGAAGCCAAAATGCCGAGGGCAGTGGGGGAAGCCCAGGGAGGGTTTGCATCCCCTATGCTCTTCCAGCGCGGGGTGGCTGCCTGCAAAACGTTGGCATCCACTGTTATTTCGCCAGATTTTCAGCAGTTCCCCTCCGTTTTCAGCCAGCCGCTGCCTGTACAGCCGGGGGATGGCTGCCCGCCGGGCACAGCCGGAGCACCCGACGCATCCCTCTCGTTTACACCCGGTATGGGCTTGATTTCCAAGTGATGCCTTTTTAAGGCAGCTTTGGCAGGGCTTTGGAGCCGGCAGCTGAGGACGGAGGCGAAGGAGAGGTCGCCGCTTGCCGCTGCCCTCCGCCGAGGCTGGCCGTGTCGATGGCCGGGTGCCAGGCGCTGCCGGGCAGAGACACGGCTCAGCCTTGCAGGGGTACCGCACCAATTCTGGGAAGGGGGAACCCAGCAGTGACCCCTTCCCAGCCCCCGCCAGGCTCTCCCCGGCCGGGAGAGCTCAGCCATCACTGCTGCGTTTCCCCAATGCCGCCGGGTTTCCATCACACCGCCTACAACCAAATTAAATAAACCCCCCTAAACCCACCCATATTTTCCTAATTCCCGGCGGGAGCGAGGGCGCTTTGAGTCTTCCCCCTTCCCCCCTCCCCAGGAGCCTGTCTTCGGGCCTGCCGTGCCCATCCACTTCGGGCGGGAAAGATATTCCCGTCCCCGGGAGTGAAAGGCCGGGCTGGGAATGGCGGGTTCCACTTTCTTGCAGGATCGTGGAGATTTTGTGACCGTCTCTTGGGGAGGGCACAGCCTCCCCGGACGGGGCTCCCCTCGTGGGGCACCGGGATGCTCGGGAGGGAAGAGAGGCGGTGCAGTGTAAGGGTCCTCACGGCCACGGCTGCCGTCTGCAGCGCGGTGTGTGTGTGGGGGAAACTCACCCCCCCGCTCCCACGGGTGGGGTGTGAGAGCCGGCCCCCGCCTCGCCCTGCCCCTGGCCCTGCCCTTCCTCTTCCTATCCCTGGCCCTGTTCTTGTCCCTGGCCCTGTCTCCGCACTGTCCTCTCTCAGTCCTGCCCCCTTCTCCCCTTTTCTCGCCCCCGCCCCAGGAAGCGCTCCCAACTCCCCCCCGCCCGGGAGTGTGTGTGTGTGGGGGGGCGAGCAGCCCTCATGGCCCGATTCGAAACCAGCCAAAGAACACGAATGTGTGTGGGTTTTGGTTTTTTTTTTGCCAAAAATCGGGGAAGAGCCATCCACAAGCTAAACGTCAGCCCAAAGCCCAGTTAGATGGTTATGGCTGGCGGAATAGAGGAGAGGAAAAGAAAAAGGAAAAGGGAAAGGAAAAGAGAAAAGGAAATTAAAAGGAAAAGGAAAAGGGAAAGGGAAAGAGAAAGGGAAACAGAAAAGGGAAATAGGAAATAAAAAAGAAAGGAAAGGGTAAAAGAAAAGGAAAGGGAAAGGAACAGAGAAAAGGGAAAGGGAAAGAGAAAAGGAAATAGGAAAAGGAAAGGAAAGGGAAATACGAAAAAAGGAAAAGAGAATAAAAATAAATAGAACAAAACAAATAGAATAAAACCATACAGAATAGGACCAAATAGAATACAAAAGAAAGAAGAAGAGAAGGAAAGAAGAAAAAGAGAAGAAAGAAGAAGAAAGAAAGAAAATAAGACAAAAGAAGACGAAAATGATGAGAGAATAGAGTAAATAGGACAGAATAGAATGGAAAAGGAAAGGAAAGGAAGGGAAAGAAAAGAATGTAAAAGAAAAGAAAAAAAAAAGGAAAAGGGAAAATGAAAAATAAAAAGGAAAAGAAAAGGGAAAATAAAAGAAATGAAACCCCAATGGTTTCCCAGGGCAGAGGCAGTGCCCGCTGCACCACGGCCGGGTGTCCGCTGCCCTTTGTGGCGCAGCCATGGTCAGATCTCCCGGGGGCAGCGGGACCTCGCCGTGACACTGCATGGCACTGTGTGACAGTGGGTGCCATTTGGTGACAGTGGATGCCACTGGGTGCCGGTTCCCTTCTCCGGGTGCCTGAATTTTGTTCTGCTGAGCCGTCGCCTTACAAACCCACCAGCTCACAGAGTAGCCAGGATAAAACTTCCAGCCCCTGTGGGAAAGTTTCTTGGCCTGTGCAAAGAAATACCTTGTGCCCCTTTTAAATATAATAATAATGATGAGCATAAAAAACCTGGGAGCGGAACCTCCTGCCCGTTTCATGGACTCACACCTACAGATGCTTTGTAAAAAGATATCCGGCCCCCAGTTTTTGCCGCTTGCAACTGGGTTGGACGTGCCCGGTTCAGCCCGGCCCGGCCCGGATGTGCACCCGGGGGATGCTCCTGCTCCGGCCCCATCCAGGGCCACTGTACCTATCAGGGTGCGCGTCCCCCAGCATCGGCTGTGGCTGTCACCCACCTCGGATCCTCGGAGAGGATCCGCCGGGGTCTCAGCTCACTCTCCCACCTGGAGCTGTGGAGGCAGAAAAGCTTCCAAGAAATGCAAACAAATTTATCTGAAGCCTGTTTTATTTAATGTTCCCAGCACGATGCACCCCCTGCTTTACATACCCGTTCTGCTTATAGGCGCGCACTCGGCACCTACACA